ATTCTATGATTCTATGATTCTATGATTCCTCCAGAAATGAGGAAACATCACATCAATGAAGGTCAACAACAGGGAGACCAGAGTGGCCCTGCTTTTATGAAGGTCTTTTCAAGCATAGGTAAGGTTGTAACCCTCCTTTCTTCTTCAGAGTTCTCAAAAGCTTCCCTTCCTCTTTCCCAGAATCAGAGGGAAAGGTTCTTCTGTCAAATGACTTCTGCTAAAGAAATTATTGGGAACAGTCCAGGCAGCAGAGCAGCAAGACTGGCAACTCACCCCTGTTCTTTGCTCATGGTATTCATGGTGACGCTACATCTGGCTAAATGCAAACCCAAAATTTATGAAGACAGATAGACATTTGGAAACAAGCAAACACAAAAGGAATTCAACACTCCTGACTACACTGAAAAGGTACTAGCACAAAAAATGAGCTGCAGGGAATTCAAGAAAACTGGTTTTGATCTTTTACCTCTTTCGAAGGTCAAGGGCATAAGCTTCTCCTGAGGCCTGCTATGATTATAAGAAGCCCAAGAAAACAAGCCATGGGCACTCTTTTACAGCAACTGCTTGGGTGATCAGTTTCAGAAGAAACATTTTAAGATGGGGATCCAGCTTCAGATTTTAAAGACTCTTAAAAATGGTAAGTTGTATACTGTGCAACTTTTAACACACCAGAAAAGCCACTTGTACCAGTCCAAGAAATAGAGAAATCTTTTAAGAAATGCTACAATATTCTGTTCTAGAGATCTTTACAAAGCAGTCTTCAGCAGTATAAAAGGAGAAGGAACATGTGTTGAATTGACAACGAAGGCTTGAACCTGAAGATCTCAGGAAGCAAAGAATTGTAAAGCCAAAGAAAAGAAAGTGAAAAAGGGTTGAAAGTATGTCCTATAGTTAACTGCCAAGGCAATGAAAGTTTCTTGTCTTAACTGTTTGTGATGCACAATGACCCAAAAATATAAATGTATGTATGGACAACTACTGAAACAGAAAACAAATGTCCCCTGCCCCCCAACCTGGAAGAGTTTAAATTGTAGCAAAACACTGTTTACATTAAAACACAAAGCATCTGACTTTAGACACTAAAAGTCTAGCATAAAAAAAAACAGCCAACCAAACAAAAAAAGCCCAAACAAAAACCAAAACCCTGACAAATCTCTACTTTATCAGTGCAACAAATAAATCAAAAAACCACTGAGGAAAATAAATAATTTAAGGAGCAATACATGAATGAGGAAGACAGTAAAAAACATAACCTGACTAAAACTGTTAAACTGTCTTAGAAACATAGGTTCCAGAAGCCTATCTTCTACTAGTTTTATTTTCTTGTTGAGTTACAAAGGAGCTACACATCACTTACAATTAAATATGACCTTTTCACACTAATATCAATGATTACCTAATTTAATTTTAGATATTTTAGAAGTAGAGAAAGCACAAGTATGTATCAACTTTCACAGCTGCACACTACGAAGCACAACTTCCTTCTCAAGACCTCTTTACAAAAGATTTTCCTCCAGCAACCCTCATTGAGTCACTGCCTAAGGAACACTAAGTTTTACTGTGTTCTGAAAGTCATGAAAACTGCCTTTTGCTGGATCAGCTTCTGAGAGCAAGCTACAGATCAAAAAAGACGATAACTTGTTTCTTACCTGTAATGTTTTCCCCAGACCCATACAGTGAGCAAGAATGCATCCAGAACCGGGGGATGTCTTTGTTTTTTTTACAGATTCACAACAGCAGTCCCACATGAACTGAACACCTAAAGAAAATTAATGAAAAATTTCTTATTAAACATTAATTTTATTAAAGTTCACCTGATAAGAGATAGGTGTGATGACTGTAAGATCATGGTAACTCTTATAAAAACAGTACTCAGGATAATTATTGATTCATCTCTGTCCAATGGGTTGTATATGGGAGGATCTTTCTCTTGAACTTAATTATATTGCCAGTTTTGACTGAAGATGTGGCAGCTGGGTTAGAAAATATTACTGTGCAGACTGTAGATGACCGTGATCTTGGGACATGGAGAAAAGAAAAGACAGAATGAAAAGTGGCAAGGACTTCATGACAAAGACTAAACTAATCTTGGTAAATCAGCAAAATTATCTGAAACCAACTAGAGGAAATTCTGCCAGGACAGATCAGAGGTGAAGTTCTATTCTTAAAGAGAAAAAAAAAAAAAAAAAAAAAAAAAAAAAAAAAAGAACTGTGACAGCTAAAAAAGTAAAGAAAATAGATGCTACATAACAAAATGCATTAACAACACGAGGGTCTGCTGAGTGATTTTTTTGTTCTTTGCAATATATTTATTGGGGAGCTGTATTCTACTATGCTATACTCAGCACAGATGAGGCTTAACTTGGCTGCTGTCTCTGGTTCAGGGCACCTCCCTTTTAGAGCTGAAGCAACTCTAGAAGTTTCTTACTAAAATGGATAGGCTGTAGATTATGAACTTTGAGGAAAATTTAAAATAACAGAATGAGCTGTGAAGAAAATTATGACTGGTTATTCGCCTTTTCTCCTTCTTCACCAGAAACAGAATATGGAAAGAAGTCAGCTTGATTTGCAGTCATGTCAGGTATCAGAAAAAAAAATTCTGTTGAGAAAGCCAGGAAAATACGGCAAGATTTTAAATCTTCACTGGAAACTCTAAAAAGTGAATATACTAATTCCTTAACAGAATGGGTTAACATGTGTTTGATTCTGCCTCAGTGTGGAGAATTAGATGATTCTGAGGACACTCCCAACTTTACATTCCTAAGACTCTTTGCTTGTAAAACAAAACTATATATTGCTGATCTCATTTACTTTTGTTCAGATGTTCTAAAAATAAAGCATTAAACATGACATCCTGGCATTTGCCTGCCAAGTAGTTTTTCTCGTGATTCTAATTCAGGTTTCGTAAGGTGCTGTGCTAGGGGAGGGAAAAAATAAATTTAAAACTCTCTTCTCTTACCATCTACTTGGTGTGGTTTCAGTCTGGTAACTATACTCCTGTGAACCTGCACTAATGGTTCTTTGGTTTCTTCATCTTCATCTAAAACCAGCTTAGTTGTAATGGGACATTTCAGAGGTGAAGCATCTTCTATCTCTATCACCTGTAAGTAGAAATAATACATCATAAGAATACTTCACACGTGAATACCACCAAGCATTTGACAGGCAATAGCTTTAGCAAAACTGGAAGTCGTAATTTATTTAGTAGAGAGAAACATTAAATTCTTTACTACGCATCACAACTTACTTTTGGGAGAGTGCTCTTCCCCAGGGAAAGTAAAGCAGTAGGCAACTGAAACAGCTTACTAAAGAACTCAGTAATCTTAAATTAAACTTACCTACGTTCACCTGCAGGAAACTAAAAATAAAACTTGTGCTTTACAAGTCTACGTAGTACAAGTCTGCTTTTAAAATTACTTATCAAATTAAACTGAGGTAGAATCATGTCATCTTGAACACCATCAACAACACAACTTACTAGCACTTTGCAAAGAAAACAGAACATACCTCTCTCAATTTATCTCTCTCCCGTTCTCTTTCTGCTATACGCTTTCTTCTTTCTTCTTCTTCTTTAAGTGCATTTTGTGTTTCTGTTCTAAGCTTATCATCTTTAATAATTTTCCTTATTTTCTTCCTGCCTTTTCCAGGAGATTTTGAATCATCATTGTCTTCATCCTCAGAATTACTCTATTACAAAACAAATAAATTAAGTATTAACATAAAATTATGGCACAGATCATCAAGTCCTTCATTTTCAGATAAGCTCTCAAAAATTTTTATATACATAGGCAGAGTTTAACTCATATAAAAAAAGATACTTTTTTTCCAAAAAGTTAGCCAGGATGACAAGAGATGTGCCACCTTAACTATAATGTATTCTCAGATATTAAAGGTATGTTCAGCTGTGCAAAGGTTGAAGGTACTGTTACTATTTGATAGTAACTAATAACTACTAATAAAGAACTATTTTTCAGTTCTAGTGGTGCTAGATCCGAGACTCACCTTCTCCACATAGGAAAAGAAACCCTAACACTAGGAAAGCTTTAATCTGCTATTTGTGCCATCTTCTACACCTACTTTAAGAATTCAGTTTACTTAAAAGATATCATACATTTTTATTAAGATCTAGACAGGAAGTGTTTTTAGTACCTTATTGTTGTTTTCACTTGAAGAATCCTCTTGAACCTTTATACGCCTTCGTTTCTTTTTCTGTTTGTAACTGCGCTGGTTTTCTTCTGCCTCAGCTTTCTTGGCAGATCTATTGAAAAAAAAAAAAGGCAGTCTTACAGATTAATAATAATATTTCATCGCCTCACTGAAAAATAATTATAAAAGCAGTACATGAACTACATTGCTAATTAATAGAATATAAACTCCTTTTCTGTAATCGGGGGTTTACTTCTAAATTCCTTCCTTCCCCCTCAACTCAGTGGACACACATAGAAACAGTCTGTTCCAGACAACCCTGAAGAATCTCAGAACTGTTAAGTATTAGTTTTCTACTGCAATCCACAATTCCTCAATTGACATTGACGTATTTGGTGAAAAAATGCTCATTTTTTGTTAATCTTTTTTTTCCTTACTGGCTCATCAAATTCCTGTGTACTACATACTGTGGTACAAATTCAAAATTACCACATTTGCTGCAAAGTTAATTAGCAGATACAAAATTATAGACAAGTATCATCAATGGTTTTCAGGACCGATCCAAAGTCTTTAACTTTTACCATCTCACTGGCTAAACTGCACTATTAAAAACCAAAAATCAAACACAGGATAAGCACAGTTAAGTTTTATTTGTACCTTGTTCTTGGACGTTGGTCATCTTCAGACTCACTGACTTCTTCACTAACTGCAGATTCATGAAACTCGGAGTCATTTGAATCATCACTGCTCACTTTAAAAATAAAGTATGATTTCACCTTGAGTATTATTGCAAAGTTAGCAACATTACGTATCTTCTAATTATAAAACAAACTGTTTTGCACTGCAAAAGTTCATTTCAAACAGTAGGGAACCCATTAAATATACTAATAAGAAGCAACAGGTACACAGGGGTACAGAGTAGAAAAGCTTAACATGTAAGCACTAGCTTAGTCCTGACAGTTGCCGACAAGACTCGAGGTCTTTGTGCAGGAATACATCTAGGTATAGTTTACAAGCCAATGACAGAAAGCATTCTATCAGAAAGCATCACATTTCAAAGCCAGTGAGTGAGGAGGAGAGAACACAATGGGGAACACTACAGAACTTCACAAAACAAGAGGTGATTTTTAGTTAAACAGAAGCTTTTGTTTCAAATGTTTTAGATGTTATTTTATAATCATACTTCACAATTCATGCCAACAACCCTTATTTCCTAACAACATATGCAATTATATTACTGTATCTATGGCCTGAAGTTTCTTCAGGTAATGCAAGTTTAAAACTGACTCAAAAGACAACTAAAAACACACCTAAAGTAGCAGCACTAGGTAACACTTCCCTAACTACTTTTAGGAGCTACTGTTGGCATTTATACGTAATTAAGACCGTCATGCCATTCAGCACCTTCATAGCTTCAGTTTGACCTTGAACACAGCAGAAAGCTTAACTTTTTTACAAGTAACAAGGCTTAAAACAAGGATTGTTTTACATACTTGAGGAAATGTAATATTAATAACACTGGGCTAAAAAATGGCAAGCTGAAATAAAGTATATTGTTTTATTTGAGACTAGTGAACTTAAAAAACTTACACTAAAGAATCCTGGTTATATCTTATTTGCACATTGCCACTGTAATTTACAATTACCTTTCTTGAAAGAAATGTTGTTGGTAGAGTTATAATGCCATAAGGGAGGAAAAGCATGAATATGCATTCAGATAAAAATGAGAGTTTTCATGAAGGAAAACGATGAACAAATCACATTGCCTCTTTTAGTCTGGGGAACACCACAGAATATGACTAGCATTAGTGTTAACACTAAGAACAGAACTGTGCACCCTTACTTCCACCTGCCACAAAACACTCCCAACATCCCCACTAACCAACATGGCAGCAAGCATTTATCTTTACTATTTCTCCCTTCCTCTGCTCAAAATGATTAAATGCAAGTGGCTGACAGACTCTTTGTTCTTGCACGCAACAATGAAAATGAGAAATCAAAGTCAAGCATCATTTCACAGTGCCATCTGGTGTTCAACTAAAGCTTGCAACATTTAAATTCTAGGATGAAGCAATTTCTGACACACAAGGGCCTAATAACAGACCAAGTTAGAGAAAGGACAAGACTGATTTTCACAAAGTAGACATACCGTGCTTGCCTCTGTTATTTAAGATCAATATTCTAAGACTCAACAAGATTAATCCAATTCAGAGGACACAATAAAGTGGAGAGAGCTGCATTTGTATTCAACATTTTACATAAAATTTATCAAGCAGGTAAGAGAATTCTAGATTTAATACACAAGGAAGTGTAAAATTTAAATTTAAAATTACAGAATTTCACATCTCCATTTTGACATGCTCTGGATTTATTTTATAGAAGCAAGTACTTTTGTCAAGAAGTGTTTAGATTACATACCCTTCCTTCTATTTCTGCGCTTCCCTTCTTTTTTGTCTTTTGGTTTCACCCTTTTCTCTTCACCAGATTCTCCATCACTCACTGTCAGCTTGTGCCTCAGCAGTCTGTGTCTATATCTAGGCTTCTTTGATTCTTCTTCCTCTGAATCCGATTCAGAATTATCTTCCTTTTCATTCTCTTCTGTCAGACAAGAGTCAGTAGAACATGCACACTGGTTAGTTTTTTCTTATTTAACTTTGGCAAAAATTAAAACCTGAATGAATTTAGGCTAAATTCTGTACTTTTCTAGGAAATTATGGACAACATCATATCATTATTCCCTCAAATTTTAAATATTTTACACTGCCTGAGCACTTGGAATGTCTGTTCCATTGACTATGTTAGTCAAATCTCTCCCGTGTATTTACACATCTTACTGTTCTGTATAGATTATTCCTCACAAATCCCCAGGACTTCCGAGTTGGTTACAAAAATTAGACTATTTAAAAAAACCCACACTTACAGAAGAGTAAGAGAGTTGATAATCCTCATGGATCATGTATACTGGCCTCTATTTGGGAACTACCTATCAACATCAATGACATGTTTTTGTTGAAAACTGAAGAAACTTTAATAATTATAATCTTCCCAAGTGACTTTTGAAATTATAACAGGTGCGACAGCACCACTTTTTCCTAGATGCTTTTTCGTGCTCACCATCATCTCCTGTGTTTTCAATTTGCTTTCCAGTTTTCTTTTTTCTTTCATCCGATTCATCGTCTGAAGATGCATCCTCATCAGAGGAAAGATTGGCTTTGATTTCTTCTAAAAGCATTTTCTTGGCAATTCTTTGAAGTAAAACAGAAAAAAATATTTATTCAATTGTTCAAGTAAATCTATGAACTAAGTGTAATCCTAGACCACTCAGAACTTCAAAAAGAAAAAGGGTTGAAAGCTGAACAAAACAAGACACATGATGAAAACTCGTTGTGGTAAGACAGGATATATCAGCAAAAATCTCATGTTAAATGTAACATGTTAACTTGCTTTTAGAAAGCAAATCTGTATAAAGCTTCTTAAAAAAGAAGTTTCAGGCTTTACACCAAGACTGGAGATAGTTATAAAATGTACAAACTTACAACATTTCATTTTATTAATGGTCCACTGGGAAAGATTTTTGTCAGTTCTGGAATAGGCACCTATATGAAGTCTAACTGGAACAAGAACGTGAAGATGCTGTAGACCAAATCCTAATACTAAAATCACTCCCCTCAAAAATGGTTATCATGCTTACTTGATTTAAATCAATGAGATGAATTTCCTGAGGCACTGAATCCACTTCATTGGTGTATATGTAGTGTTAAAAACAGTGTATCACTGAATGCATGTTTTAATCATGGAGAAAAAAATTACTCCAATATGCATGAACTCACAGATTAAAAAATAAATTTATTACCTCTACACATAGTGTTAAAAACAGTGTATCACTGAATGCATGTTTTAATCATGGAGAAAAAAATTACTCCAATATGCATGAACTCACAGATTAAAAAATAAATTTATTACCTCTACCTCTACATAGCTTGCCTTCAACTGTGTTACCATTCTAATTGCCTGGGCCCACCCTACTGCAAAGGAGATGCTGTAATAATTGAAGCAACTCATGGTGTCTCCGGATGAACTGCTACTAGGTGCCTTGGGGAAAAAAATCCCACGCTGCCTCCCTCACTTAACTACATTTAGATGTTACAGCAAGTATAACAAAAAAAAAATATATATGTGTATATAGACATACACACAAAGAAGTTTTACCAAACATTATGGGACCTGAACTTCAAAGAAAAATCACAATCTTATTTCCTGTTCCACAAACTGTTGCTCAGGTTCTCACAGCTTCATTTCAGCAGCAGAACGTTTTCAGCTAACGTACAAGAAGTTACTATGGAAAAATGATTTCTTTACATGTTCTTGCAACATAAAAAATCTTATATAAATCTATCCAAAGCAAAATATAAAATATGTCAAAAGCACAGGAAAATAGAAGATTTAACTGAGAACTCATACTTCCAGGGGAAAAAAAAACCTGAAAGAATGAAACCACGTCTTCCTCATATAAATTTCAGAAATATTACAGTTTTCATTCCATGGTCATAAATTTTAAATGAAGATTTTTTTTTTCTCTAGGTCAAATCTGGTCTGTCTCACCTTTCAGAATTAATGTATACTACATATACATAGTTCAGAATGGGAAAGCTTTTATACCAGTCAAAACAGTTCAAAAACCATGACTGAACCACAACCTAGGCATCGCTTAGAAATGGCAAAGGAACAGCGATATCTTAAGTACAGCTTCTTATACATCAGAAAATTAAGCTGTTACTTTTATGTAGCACTAGGTTTTCAAGAATCTGTATTTCATTTTTCTATGCATGTAAATTGTCCCTGAAACAAAGGAAATTTTCAAAGGGAATTTTCACAAGGTATCTTTCCCAACTCCTCATACAGTATTTTCTACTTTTTGACTGGTAGTGTATTTTCCAAAAAGATTCTAATGCTAATGTATATTCAGTTATTAATAAAAGATGGAAATAAAATGGTTTAATACATATTTAAGATTGCTCAGTGAGTCACAGACTATCCATCAGCATCCAAAACACCTTCCCTCTTTTGAGAAATGGCTTGCAAAGAAACACCTGATTAAAATGCATTACTCTCAGTAAGCTTTAATTGCATACATATCAACAGATCACAGTGGGAACCCAATGAAAACTTACTAAAGTCTGTAAGTAAGTAACATCCTCTTCCAAATGTTTTTTTTTTTTTTTTTTGCATTATGTCCTGACAGAGGATTTGGAAAAGGGACTTACTGTTTTTGTTGTTGGTGGTGGTTGCTGTTTGGTTGGTTGTTTTTTTAAACACACCACATCATGAATAAAAGCAACAGGAATAAACAGCTCCTTATATAAGAAATTAAGACTATACTTCTTCCTTCTCTTAACGGTCAGAAGAACTTTTTCTTCAAAATGAAACTGCTTGGAATATCACAGGTTGGCTTCACTTTAAAAGCTTTCATCATAAATTATTAGCCTTGAACCCTACTCCAGGAAATACAGACAGCAGCAGTATGGCTACTTGTTTAAAAAAAATTAACAATGTCATCACCAAAGTTTTGCTTTGGAAGACAAAAAAGAAGTAGAAACACTAAAACGAACTCAAAAATTATTTTTAAATTAAATCCTGAAAGTACTGTCTAGTAACACTGCCTTTGACTTATTTTGAATTGTCCTCAATTACATCAGAAAAGTTAACACAACTTGTACGTGGACAACAACACTTACCTTTCATACAAGTCACCTTTAAAAATGTATTTATACATTTTTAAACAAAGGTTGACTTTGGTTCTTAATAAAACAAGATTTGTTCTTTTCTGAATTTTTTTTAAGGTGGGGGGGGGGGGAAGGCAAACATATCATTCACCTAAAAATACCATGCACAAAATCTACTATCCATAAACAGAAGATGCTGTTATTTTGGGCTCATCACCAAAACCACCAACCAGACTGGGTAAACTTATTAGTTTCTAATTATTTATACTAATACCGATTTGAAAAGCAAAGTTAGTGCTTTTATACTCCGAGATAGAAAATCAGACATTTTTAGCTAGGATAAAGATTCAAGCACTTTGAATCAAACTGATTGTTTACTGAAAAAAGCTACGTCCTCTTCAATGTGTTCTACTGATCCAATGCTAGCCTAAAAGTGTAAGACATTGTTGAGACATTCAGAATTTAAAGGATTCCTATTTTTAAGGTAACTACATATCTGATAAGCATTCAAAGTGTGAGCAATATTAGAACCAAACAGATTAAGCCTTGTAAATGTATCTGGCAAATGACTGATGTAACAAAGGGCTTATACTAATTAGAATAAATTGAGAACTGGGCTCTTAAGACTGGTTTTAAATTGTACGTAGCTCAGGATAATGTATCACATTTCTATTTTAAGATATAAACCCATTTAAAGTGACCATGTTTCTAAGCTAACACACTTCATTTGCTAGCTTTAACATTTCAATATTTGCATTAACATCAAACTGCAAGTACCACAAAAAACCCAAGCTATGACAGTGTGAAAACACCCTCACTCACATTCTTCCAGAGAAACCCAGGCAAATCAAAATATACTGTAATATTTACTCGGGTCAAGAACATAAAAGATATTCTTAGCCAACCAGATGTAACAACTGAACACTATACACAATTTTAATTAAGAAGCAGAGAGAGCTGTGCCACCTCCAGTACAAGACATCAGGGAGGAAATTTAAAGTAAAAATAAAAATCCCTGCATTTCCTTCATTTCTGCCACTGATCTGCTGTGTCCTTGAGCATGTTGTGTTGTCGTCCCACTCCATCTTATCTAAATATATCGGGGAGATATGTATAAAGGACATTTTCCCAACACATATTTATACAGTGCCTTACAGAATGGGACTGTAATCTCAACCAGGACCTATGAAACCAACTCTAGAATAAAATAACAGTATATATGTATCATTTTCTATAAATCAGGATTTAAATCTATTTCACTTCACCTTTGTAGCAATGACACCAGCAATATAAATTTATAAATAATGAACTGGTTACTATGTAGTTTTTAACTTATGGTAAAATAAAACACTTTTAAAGAGACAGGCAAACTGGAAGTTACCCAGGGGCTGCTATTTTAAATTATCCTTCAGACATTTCAGCACAAATTGAATACTAGGTGCAGCCTCTCATGATGTAGAGTTAAATCCACGTGATAATTTGCACCATTCTCGTTCATGAATTTTGGAGTGCCAGTATGATGGACTCATTTATATACGGTCAAAAATCTTGGTGAGCCAATGCTACCATTGTAAAAATATTTTTTCTTCTTAAAAAGTAATAACTTTAAATATCAGTTAACTATTGTGAAATATTATTACCAATTAGATTATGTCAACTCACACGTAGTGTTCATAAATACCTACTAATTAAATGTAGAAATAAGGTTGCCCAAAACAAGCCTTTGGGTGGGGAAGGACATTTTTATGTAGCTAATAAAAGCCACCATTCTTTCAGCTAGAGCACTACTGAATTAAACAAGCCCTTTGGTATATTACTAAAAAATTTAGAACCACTTAAAATATATTTTAAGACATTAATATTTGGATGAAATGTCATACATGTTTAAAAGAAAAAAATAGTGAAAACTGCCAAACACCTTGTTCTAAATACTGTCTTTGTTGAAACGGTCTGATTTTCAAGCTGTCAGAGTTGTATTAAATTAAATGCTTGGACAAGAAAAACGTTTTACAAAAATTTATTGCAACCATCAAATACTTAAAGGCATTCTGCATCAAATACACTATTAACTTCTTAACAAAACTACTGCAAACATATTAAAACAGTACCATTTAAAAGAGCAAAAGGACCAATAATAGATAATTACACAACAGAAGATGAAAGCATACAGCACTGTATGTCATATGCTGACCCACTTGGATATTGCATTTTGGCAAAGGTGATTTCAAGACTATTAATATTCATGTCATGCACATCCAAAGGTATGCAAATAACAGAACATCTAAACTAGAGACTTGCAAACACGAGAGCTCCCACACTACAAATACCCGGTAGGTACTATGTACCCTCTTTGGCCTGGAAGAAAATAGGCAACTTAGCTGAATAGTAGGTAAACTATTTAAACACTTTGTGTTGAGTAAGTAGAAGAACAAGCTTTTAACTTCTTGAAATTTGTTCTTTTTACATTTTATAGATCTGATTTTGGTGCCAGGTACAATGCATCAGACTGCAGTTACCAATTAACATGTCTGAAGGTTGACAAAACTGTTTATTGACAAAATACCTCCCCATCTCATAAATATATATTCAAAATATTCCCTAAATAAAAACTTCAACAAAGTTTCAGCTTAAAAACAAAGTACAGAAATTGTTTTTTAAACCCCAAATTCATAATACCAATTTGTTTGTTATCGATCGTGTTAACTCATTTCCCCATATAGCTCTTAAACTAATAATTAGGATCTGTCAGTAACATTTGTATGGTCAACACTGAACTTTTACAAAAGTGTATTGGCTTAGTTATCAACCAGAAACACTTAAGAAACAAACAAAAAAGAAAAAAGAAGGAAAAAAATTAACCAAAACAGAACTGAAACTAAAGTATCATTTAAAAAAAATCTTGTATTACCAATGTTTACATGTTCTGCTTATGACCCTGTGCTGTCAAGTCCCTAAAGAGCATCTTTCTTTAAAAGCTAAATTATTTGATTAAATTTAATGACTGAAAATAAGAACTACATCAGCAGCAACATTTTGATGCCAAACTGAGGTCCGTAAAGGATATAAAACAGTGTTTTTAAAATTTAACTTCAGCCACAGATCAAAACGTACAACTCTGTGAAACAAAGATACCATATTCTAAACTAGTAAGGCTCAGAAGCAGAAAAAGACTCCAGCAGCAACTGTGCAAAGCTATGAAGCTGGTCCCATACATGCTATATGGCAAAAAAATTAGTTTCTGAAATACTATATAAAAATTTGTTGAACAACTCTTTAGTCTAACTACAGTAAATTCCAAAAAGAAACTGTGGCTCGTAACTGAGCAATACTTCATGTTGTGCATTCAGTCATTAGGAGACAAAGCTTTTAAATTTTCTAGCCAGGCTAATTTTGATAACTACAATGGTACTGATAAATTATGACATGTCTTAACTAACTACATCTTACACAAATTCTTTTTTATTGAACTTGAAACTGAAGCAACACATAAAAGCCAGAATTCTTAAAATATCTATGGAAAGATTTAAAATTTGTATGTATCATTAGTCTCTGATACCAGTTGAGCCTATGCACAACGCTTGTAGAATCAGGACCTTAACTATCACCTTAGTCACTTCAGGTATTCTTTAGTGGATTAAAAGTCAGTTTAATTAACAGCTGAAAATATCTAATACTGTTTTCTTCATGTGTGTTTTCTCTTTATTGAGAAAAAGTGCTTCAATTAAAAAAGCAAGTTATGTAACAGCAATAACCAAGTTCAATTTGAAAGCATTTTAGCACTGCATGTTGCACAGATGCAAATTTTTACCTTCTGTTCATATAACTAGCTGAAATTCACATTTCTCAGAAGTAGGTTATTACCTGCCTGAACAAAATACTTGTCACAAACCTCACACTTTCAATGGGAACACAAAATGGACAGTGTTGCTGCAGTGCATTTATAACACACCCTATGCAAGGTGTGTTAGCTAACACTTCTAAATATTTTCTTTGCATTTCTGGATTTTGGCTGTTTTCTGGCCCCTTGTTCAAACTTGCGGGAAGCCCGTGAGCGAGTCTTTACAAGGCAGGCAGTCGTGGTTTTTACAACCTGCTTGCTCTTCCGTTGCGCCGGTTTGCGCCCACGCCTAGGGTGTGTTATAATCTTTTTTAAGTCCTTACGGATGGTATCATACCTATTCTCAGGATCGTCATCATCATCATCTTCCTCCTCTTCCATTGGAACAGCTCTTGATTTAGTCTCTCCCTCATCTCCTGGGGGAGGAAGGAGAAACAAAAAAAAAAAACAACAGAAAACATGAACACTTATACATGGAAAATCAGCAATAAACAACAGAGCATGTGAACTATTGTCTCCGTCAGGAATCTCCATATACAAACAGCTTGGTAATATCAGCACTTTTCTGCTAGCAAACAAACAAGCCAGTTACCTATCCTGACACATAAAAATAAATATTTTTATTAATAAAAGAATCTAGTTTTTCAAGCAGCACTTTTATCCACATTTTGCTTGCTACTACAAACAACTTACAATTCTTTCCTTATTACAAATTGTTAAATTTGGGGGTTTTTTTTTACATTAAAACATACAGAGACTGAACACTCCACTTGATTCAGAAATTAAGTATCCTAAGAAGTAATTAGCTCCATTTCAGAAGCTCTGAATTTGTGTAAACTGAAAAGAAGGCCCGAATGTATTACAGAATCACTTACCAAATTTATGAACTACCTTGCTACTACTAAGAAGTAGTCAAGAAAAAAAACTCTTTGCCTATTTTTGCTTTCAGAGTACCAAATACAATGCATGTACATTTGTTGTGTAGGTGGAACAACTTACATTTCTGAAAACCTCACATGCTATCTTTACTGCAAATATCATAACTCAGCTGCACTACATGGATACTGTCTCACAGAGAAAGAACATCAAAACCAGCAGCATGGGACAGGTAATAGAGAAAGAACAGCACAGCACAACAGCTGCCTTTAAGCTCCTCTGCACTCTCCAGGCTGAACTGAGAGGAATTCAGATTATTTCTAGCACACTCTCAGGCCTTTCCCCTTTCTTTTCTCTCATTCTTCTGACTCACATATATGTAAGTCAGATCTGCTAGTTAGTAAAACTAAGCTGAGGAAAAGAGATCCCTAAATCCTGATGAACTGAGACCCCCTCATTCGCCACTTTTACTGTTTATTTTCTACCTGTGGGGAGTAAACTAAAACTAGGCTGCGAGAGGCTGACTCCAAGTTGTTTTAAGGTACGCTTGTCCTGGAATTACCACTAGTCAGAAACCTGACAGGACTGTGTAAGAGGTGATCACAGAAAGTCCCTCACTCTTAGGCTTAGATAAATAGAAGTATCCTGTTGGTTAAACCAGACTGTAAGCCTCATTCAACAATCAATCTACATAGCTTGTTCAGACGCAGACAAGACTCCTTTATTTATTCACCTGTTAAGCCAAAAGCAAACTGAAGAGAAAGGGCAAGTTTGCCTCCTCTTGAAATAACAAAGGTAGGTTCTCATATAATGATACAATGAATAAGGTTGGAAGAGACCTCGGGACATAATCTACTCCAACTCCATCCTCAAAGCAGAGCTATCTCCAAAGTGAGGTCAGTTTTCTCAGGGCCCTGACCAGTCAAGTTTTGAGTATTTTCAAGGACAAGGATTCAAAAATTTGACAGGGCAACCAGTTTCAGGGTTTGAAATAATTTTCTCCTAGTGTCCAATTAGAACTTTCCTTGACAAAATTTCTATCCACAGCCTCTCATCCTTTCGGCATGTATCTGGCTCAGCCTTCTCTGTAAGCACCCATTAGGTGATTAGAAGACAGAAATTAAGACTCCCTATTTTTAGCCTACTCTCTTCAGGCTAAACCAACCCACTTCCCTCTCAGTCCAACTCTACTATCAATCATCGACAACACCATCTCATTTTCCCCAATTTGTACACTGTTCTCCATCTCACCCATCCAATAGTCATCCAACCTTTCCACTTGTGACTTGCAAATAATCACTCTTCTGCTTCAGACACCTTCTGATCGATTACAACCAACTTTTTCCCCCTGGGCCATGTCAACACCCGGTCTATAAACATACACAGTACACAAGCAATTTTATTTTTCAAGTATTTTTGATGGTCCAGTGATGCTGAGAGCTGCTGTATACGGGTTACTGTCACTGAGTAACATCAACTGTCTATCCGTAGGGAGTGTTTCAACAGTCGTGGCAGCTACCACACACAAGACACTAGCTCACTACTACGCAAACCATTCTCTATTTGCAATCTCCCACAGCAGCAGCATCACTGCACAAAACATTGCTTTGGCAGCCATCAAGGAACAGCCCTAAAAGTCCCAATATTACATCCACAGAGACGCAACTAAACTTAGTTCATCAGGGGACACTGAAGAACAAACATTACAGTGCTGTATGAGATGTAGAATAAGACACTTATTTTCCAACTGTTACTCTACAACGCTGCAAAATACCATTAATCAAACTTTGTTTTCTTACAGGGCAATTCCAAAGCAGCTCAGCACCTGTGAAAAGCAACCTTTGACCTTTGCATCTGCAAAGATTAACACTCCAGAAACTAAACTGCAGGAAAAGAAGATGGTCAGCATCAAGTTGGTATGAAAAAGGAAGAACAATATGTTTAATTTAAAATCTGAGTGTTTTGTTCGTTTGAGGGTAGAGCGGTTTTGTTTTGTTTGGTTTTTGGGGGGGGGTTGTTTGTTTTGGTTTGATTTCTTTAACAGAAACTACAAACAATCATCTCATTTTGAATTTAGCATCTGCTTACAAGGAGTTTTTGGGAGAGCCAAAATGCAGCTATGTCCCTTCTGCTATCTTCATAAACATCTTGCTGTTTTATTAATTTTTTGTTTAGGTGCAGCTTCGCAAACTACTGTAATTGTTGGCTCAGATACAGTAACATACAGAAATTTCTATGAAACATCATTAGAAGCAAATAGGAAATAATGTACCTGTCACAGTAATTAAAACAGCAAATAGATTGCATTTTTTCTAGTTGAAAATTAATTTATTAAAAACATGTGTACTGTCCATGTAATGTGAAAACCACTCTTCCTTTTTCAGGTCTTTAAAACAAGTGTTCAAATTCAGCAGTTCTGAATTTCTTTCTTATTTCCTAAAGATGTAATACACTGATGAAGTAGTTCTATCTTGGCAAGAAAAATACTTATTACTATTAAACCTGCTACGAAAACAGCCATGACAGATTTCTGTTAACTGACACCAACTGCTCTAAGCTACGTGGGTCTTTTGTGAGGCACAAAGACTTTTAAAGTGTGTACTACAATGCTACGAGTCTTCAGAGTCATCTCTAGTGCATAACTATGAACTGACAAATTTGAGTTCACTAGATACCTACTGCCTAAAACTAATTTCTTCTAAATAGCACCTGGGGATCCAAAGAGAGGAACAGGTTTTTCAAAGCTGTGCTGCAAGGAAATACCAGCTGGAATTACAGACTATAGCTTCTCAAGTCTTTTCATTTACAGTGACATCCTTTTTTTCCACAACTAACAAGCTGCATAAATGGAAACGGGCACATCCTAACCAGTATCGTAAAACTTAACTGGCTGCAAATGTTTAAATGCGTAATTATCTAATTATGAATATTTTCACTTCTAGATTACTAAATGTTACCCAAATCTCACAAATTTCTTGTATTAGTATATTAATAATAAGTGTAGATGAACATGTTTTGCACACCTGATGACTGACAAAATCCTGTACCAGCAGACAGCATTAAGTTTTCAGTCACCGGCCTAATTTTCTGCTCATCGCTGCTTCCATCACCTGTTGAATTCTGTTCATCATTTTCTTCCTTCTCAGATGAGGAAGAGGAAGTGACAACCACTTTCTTTTTTAAGTTACTCTTTTTACTTTCTTTTATTGACACTCTTTTAATCTTTTTCTTACTGTCTTCATAAGACTCCTCATCAGAAGAGGACAATGAGTCATTCTGTTCTTTCTTGGAAATTTTCTTTTTCTGACTCATTTTTTTCTTTTCTTTAGTTTCAGGTTTTTTTTTTCTCCGCATAGTATCTTCAGAAGAACTCTCCTCTTTTAGGGGAGACTTCTCAGCATCAGAGGAAACATCCATCTGTACTCTTTTAGGTACCCTCTCTCTTAATTTCCTCCTTTCGTTTTCTTTAGACACTGGTTCATTTTTTGTTTTGTCACTTTCAGAAGAATTGCAACTTCCTTTCTCTGGAGATGACTTTTCAACATCAGAAGAGGAATCATCTTGTTCTTTTTTGTAGCTTTTCTTTTTCAGTTTTTCAGATTTCTTCGCTTTCCTTTCTGATTCTTTTTTATTCTTGAATTTGTCTTTCGAAGAATCTAAATTGTGCTCTTTCTTTGTAGATTTCTCAGTACTCTCTGAAGAAGAATCTTCCTGTGCTTTTTTCTTTTTCAAATCCTTGCTTTTCTTAACTTCAGTTAGCTTTACACCTTTAGGACAACTCTCCTCTTTCTCCAGTAAAGATTTCTCAACATCAGAAGACTCATCATGCTTTCCCTTTACAGCTTTTTCTTTTAAGTCTCTGTTTTTCTTTTCCTTAGCAGCTGACCCCTTACCAGTTTTTTTATCTTTAGAAGAATGATTAATCTCCTCTGGGGAAGACTTTTCAGCATAGTCATCTTCAGAAGATTTATCTCTCCGTTTCTTCAAATTTGCTTTCCTCTTACTACTTAATTTTTTCCTCTGCTCTTCTTCAGAGGAATCATAACTATCTTCTTTTTGTGAGTATTTTTTCTTAGATTTTTTTGCAGACTCGATTTTACTCAAAATTTTTATTTCTTTTTCTAACTCAGAATCATAGTTTGAAGAATCTGAATAGTTTTGTCGTTTCTTTTTAGCAGAAGCAGAATTTTTAGCTGATTTGCCTCTTTTGGCATCTAAATCTGAACCAGAGCTGGAACTTTTTCTTTTTCGTTTTCCATTTTCATCCTTTACAGGTTGATTCTTTAGAAAATCTGAAGCCTTCTGATCACTTGTCAGTGCTTCACTATTGCTATCGATATCCGAAGAACTGCGACTCATCATAGCTACCTCTTTAAGAACAGCTGGCATCTCATCAGAATCTGAGCTATGATCTAATTCATATGGCTTTTTTGATTTAGAAAGTTTATTAGGGCTAGGACCATCAACAGAAGAATTTCTTTTATCGTTTCTCCTCCTTGGTTGTTTTGATGATTTTCTCTTACGTTTTTCACTACTTGTGTCATTGCTATCTTCTTCTGAATTTGATGTTAATGGACTGACGTCTGTTTGGCGCCTCAGAGGTGTGGTCTTCACACGTGGCGATCTCCTGAGATCAGATTCTTCTACAAGTGAGACAGTTTCATTCTCTGTGGAAGGTTCAGTGCCAGCATTATGATTCTGTTTTACAGAATCACAGTTTTCTTCTCTAGATATTACATCAACATCCTTACTTCCTTTTTCTTGATTGCTGTCTTGATCTTCAGTTTTAACTGCAGACTCTGAAAGGGAAACAGGAGTCAATTTTACAATCAATTCTTTTGTTCCTTTAGCCGATGATTTTAACTTAGTACCACTTTTGCTGTCTTTCACAGCAGTGCTCAATTTTACACTTGAATTTAGAGTCTCATGATCTGTTCCTGTATTTCCACTGTCTTGCTCATCTGATGCAATCTGAACCTCCATAGCAGATTCTAGAGTCTCAAAAATATCTTCAGGAACAGATGAGGGAATGGACACTATATCCATGTCCAAAGCCTCTGTACTATTAGGTTCATACTGAGGTTCTTCACTTCTGCCAGACCTTTTATCTTCCCCAGAAGTACGCTTGTTATCTGTTCGTTCCACTGCTGGAACAGTTTGATCCATGGGCTCATTGCCAGGCTGTTCGGATACAACTTTTTTCTGTGTCTTTACGGTGTCATCCTCTTTTAATGCCACATGTTCCTCTTCTTCATCTTTTTTCACCTCATTTTTTTCTGATCTAACATCATTTTTTTTCTCTTTGGTATTTTTGTCTTTGATTTTAACATTCAAAGCTTGAATCTCCAGGTTCAGACCTTCTTCTAGTGCCAGATGAGCTTTTTTCATGTCACTCAACACAGATTTAAAAGCTTTCAGCTGACAAAGTTGCACAGTTGGGCTTACTTCTACATTTTCTGCAGCGTTTTTCAAAAAGCTTACAAAGCTAGAATTCAGATTTGCTGTAGTTTCAACCAGCTTTTTTGTTTTCTTAAGTAAGTCTTTTGGCACCATTAGTGCTTTGTAAGAATATGTTAGTGAACCTGAATATGAATCATCTAGTTTTTTTTCTTCACCATTACAATTTGAATTATTTCTCTTTGGAGAAAACTTGACTGTGTGGTCGTATATTTTACTTTTTTCACTCTCAAGTCTGATCTTTTTTTTGTTTTGTTGAAGTAACTGTTCTAAATTTTCAAAGACACTGTCACATGCAGTGACCAAGTCCAACAAAGGCTCTGGACAGCAAATATAGCAGTGCCACTGGTTATTTTCATCCAGTATAGTCGACAGCTCCTTTCGACCCAGGTTGCGCAAAATGCACTTTTTACAGAAGGCGTTATGGCAAAAGTCACAGCAAATCAGATTTCCACCTTCAGCACACCACCTGAAACGAGACATAAGAAATGTCAGAGTCTTACCTCCAAATTAACCAGTTGAGAAATTTGAGAAGTTGACATTTTTCACTATTTGATAGAGACTTTGCATTTTAAAAATTCAGGTGATAAACAGATAGTCATTCATTGAAAACATTATTAAAAGCATGACTGAAAAGAACTCGATTGAGAGTTGGAAAGTCAGAAAATTAAGGTATTAGATTAACAGTTCACAAAGCTGAAATGGTTGGTAATATCCAAATACAATTTCAGTGCCAATCTAAAATACAAGAAAAAATAAATTAAATTTTATTTTCTTCTGAGAATTTTTTTAAGGTTTTTTTTAAGTTATTTATTTTATTTTACAGCAAAACAAATTATCATAAGTCTTTCTAGCCTTAACTGGTACATTACTACTGCAGGCGAATATGGGGAAAAAAAACAAAAACCCAAACCATCAAACAGGTTTTGATCTATGTCTAAATTGCATAGATAAAGAACTGAAAAATGGCTGACAAATAAACTCAGACATCATAGACCACGCAATTTTGACTGGATTAAACATTAGACATAAGGACAGAGAAGTACTTTAGTATTTCAAAAGTGGGAGATGCATTTGGAAAAGTTTCTGTGGCTCACAAGGTTTCAATGTCAGATTCTATCCCTACATTTGAAGTATCTGTAAGATGGCATGCTATTTAGTTAAAATGTGATATCTTACAAGTGTTTGCTATTGGATTTCTTTATAAAATATTTTTCTGGTAATTACTAAAATAACAATCAAATATTTACAAAAACCCTGGGGATGAGCATTTCTTGGTGAGAAACGATTAAGCTCTTATGTACTGGTTTTTATCTGTCAATAATTTCATTATTGCAAGAAACAAAACAAAGAACTTTGGGTGTTATTTCCGTTTTTGTACACTTACCTACACTGTTCATCCATTCCATCTGAATCACGGCTAATGTCATCACTCATGTAATACTTGTAGCAAGTCTGTAAAGAACAAGAGGACAAGGAATTTTTTATTAAATCTCAACCAGATTTCAGTAATTCATACTATTTCAGCATTAATTAGAAGCAAACAATTAAAAGCAGCAGCTGAAAAAGTCTTCAGCACTCTAACCCTTTTATATTTGCGTTAATCTAAAAAACACCTTCCACAGATACAATAGGTCCTAAACCATGACTTCTTATTTAGATGGCTCAAGGTTTATTTGAAAATTAAACAGGCTTTTGTTTGATGGCTGCATATTTGCATATTTTAGAACATCAACTGTATGTTTCACCTCAAATTTGTAATTTTTTTCCATCTATTTCCTATGTAAATCAACATCACATCTTCCCTTGCTCAATTAATCCTACATAAATTACAATTTTCAGGTGTATGCTCCTTATGTTAGCAATCAATCCCATAAGTCTTCAGTATTTATCCTGATGTTAACATTCAAGGCTTCACTTTCCAGATGCAAACTAAACATTTTCATTGGAAAAAGTGGTAACTAAGAAAAAAATACACACAATTCAGCTAGTAGTAGCAGTGGCTTAAGTTGCTGAATTCTTTAAACCAAATTTTGAAGGTGTGGGTTTTTTTTTACAGTTGCTAGTAAAGTAAGTCCTCCCGGACTTGAAACTCTACTTCAAATAGGGATTAATATAAGCTATTAGCTACATTCTGTCCTTTTACCCAGTGAAATCAGTGAAATCAAAATCTGTAAGATGCTTTTGCACCTGAATTTAAAATGATGATGCCTCTTTTTCTGGAACAGTTATACATCTGTTCAACTATACTAAACAAACAAAAAAAAACCCAGTAAAAGCTGATGTTTACAGACTCTTGACCAAACATCTCTAGTCAAAGGGAAACAGCTTCTCAAGTCTGGGACTGTTTACCTAAGCAGCTGCCTCTTTCCACTGCAGGCAGCTTAGGGCCTAACTGAAGCCACCAAGAAACCACATAGCTGAAGACCTAGGTGCTGGGTTTGGGTTATGGAGTAGACCATCATTACAGAGGCTGCCATAAATTAAAACAGTCCAGGAGCTGTACACAAGTGAAACTGAGATGGCTTTGAGGCTATTTTTCCACTTCTTATTCCAACATTGGTTTACATACAGTGCTTTACCAGAAGACCCAGAATTTACTTTGCTCTTATAACACATTATGAGCAGGTAGAAATTTCAGACAGTTCAATTAACACAAAAAAATTCACTAAAATTGTAGCCTTATAACTGTAAAAACTGATTACAAAGAAACCACAATGAGTTTAACTGGAGTATAAGAAAATAAGAATATAAATTTGTAAGCTGTATTTGCCTTTTTGGTTTCTGCTTTTAGTTTCCTTAATTGTAACCGTTAATGACAAAGTTTAAACTGAAAAGTTTATTGGCTAATAAAGAAGAATTACTCCCACAAAAATCCCACCCAAATCAACTAATGACATTTTACACAAAACCAAACCGTACAAACTGTAGAACTGTTTACCACATACCTTACAAATAAGAACTTTCAGTGTCGGATGTCTATAGATTGAATCCTTTTGGAAATGGTTCACCTGTTGCCCACAAGCTGTACAGCTTACAATTCCATGTAGTCCCTCCTCTATAGAGGATTATAAACCACACATTAATTGTCTTCATTCTTCCTTTTTTTTTTTTTTTTTAAATAAATCTGTGTATACCTATTTCATCTTCCTACAATATTGTGGCCTGTTAGGTTTTTCATATGCCTCCATTACTTTACTATCCAGCATGAGAGATCTTTCTGTAACCACTCCCCATTTAAAGACTTAAAGAATTTTCCTCTAATTTCTATACTTCACTTGGGGCCAAGATACAATTTTTTTATTATTTGAGAGATTTTGTTTGTATTAACTGGTCACTCCATGAGAACACACCTAAATAAGAGTCATCACTAAAACAATTTCAAAGCAGCCCTGATATTCTGTACAACCTTCCTCATTTAATCTTTGTTCATAAACCACTGTTTTAATTCATGTTTGTATTTTGGTATTTTAGCTTTAGCTTCTCGAAGAAAAGTATGGGAAACTGTTACAGAAGATGCAAGAAAACCTTATAGAAGTGCCTGAAAAGCCTTTTTTCACTTTTTCTTCTCTTCTTGATGGTGGATTTGGATTGGTTGTTTTGGGGGTTTTTTTCAAACTACAATTTTGCAATGGTATTATGTTGTCACTGCCTTGCTGATTGCTCCCGCAGTTTGTGTGCCACTCTGCTGCCGTGCCTACATGCGGTCAAGAAAGCATTTAACGTCAATCTCCCAATTCATTCTGAAAGGTGGTGAACTTGGGGTTGGGAGGGTTGCTACATGCCAGGCTGTTAAACCAACTAATTAATACTATAAGACCATTTTGTTTTCAACAGCAGTGATGCTTTCAAGAAAAAGGAAAACCAGTTGTAAGCTCATGCACTCAGTTCATACACTTCCAAAAACTGAATTCGGGATCAAGCAGACAGAGGTTTGACATGGCATCACTTAACTATGACTTGTCCTTTGCTATGATGGTCAGTAAATACAATAAGGAAATTAACTCAAAAGGTTAACTTAATGGTTACAGTCTGAGTACAGACGAGATATATAGATATATAGATATATATTTTTAAATAGTCACTGCCACAGAATTAGAATCAAGCACCAATACCACAATGTTAAGGAACTGAATGAACATTCTCAAGACACAATATGAGCTACTAGCAATTTGCTAATGAAGTACAGTCTCAAATAGCTTACAGGCCAGTAAGAACAACTAATAAACCCTTACAATTCAGTGAAAATAGCAGGTCTAACATTTTGAATACAAGATTTGTTGTTTTCAACTTTAATGTGTGCATGATTGCATGTACTGCAGAGTTTGTGGATTTGCAAAGCACCTCTTATGACCTCAATACCAGCTCTAACACCCGTTTCAGACACTGCCAGTAAACCTCAAGAAAACGCATCCATCATATTGTACTACTTGGAAAAGAACACCACATTCTATTACACCAAGCAGCACAGGAGCCTACCCAGGCTTTGTCAAACATCACAGTCCTTAAGTGGGTGTAAGAATCACAGAGGGCAACAGCCAACTGAGGGACAACAAGCTATTATTCACTGTCAAGTGCCAAGCCACCTCCTCCTTCGCTACAACTTTAAGGGGAAGCACTGCTGCCTCCTTCCTAAAATTCACAAGCTGGCACCAGAAAAAAAAAACAAAAAGAGGATCATTTATGAGGCAAGCTTTTGTAAATTGTGTTACTACTACAAATTACAATGATCCAAAGAAATTAAACAACTACTAATTCATTAATACTGAGAAGATACTTAAAAAAACATTCCTAACTATGCGTTTATTAGCAGAAATACAACTATAACCATTTTGCAGACACAGAATTTGAAAGTAAGGACTGACACTGTCTCTTACAGTGTTGGGCAAGAGCATATGGATGCTAGAAAGGCAAGAGTTCTATTACTAGTACTATTTCTAGCATAAACAGGATATAACTCCTAATAAAAATGCAAAGATGCACTTTGCAAAAAACAAGACAGACTGGCATTTAAATTTTATTTCTATTATTTATCTACTTGCACAATACAGAATTCAGGATCTCAGGTAGTTGGGACTACGTGCTTACCTGCTTAAACCAGTAATGCTTAACTTTGTATGTGCACAGGCTAGGCACCTCACTCTAGCAGCAAGAGAAAGGTAAGTGCCACTTCATGTCATTAGACTTGCTGCGTGCAGGCAGAGAAACAAAGGATCTGCACTACCTCTTCTGTGCTTGTCACAAAATACAAGTTTTGATACATTCCTAATCCAGCTGCTCTTGAGGTAGACTGCTCTCACGTCCCTCGCCTGGCTACCTTTCCTGGTCTGGAAATGGGGACAACACAGTAGCAGGCAGTACCTGTTCCATTTCCCTGAAAGTTGACAGGAGCTTAACACATGTACTGGACAAATTTGAAATCAAGTCAAAGATTATCAGCAGTGACACAGATAGAGCTGAGCTTGCCCTGGATAAAGGTACGGATGGCTTAAACAAACTCTTCACGTCCCTTCCTAAACTATTTTCTTATATCAGGCACCAGTACATGAGGAACCAGTCCAGACACACAAAGAAAGGCCTGTAAATTCCCCAGGGATGGAGGAAAAAAAAGCTGTAAGGGCAGGTCACACAAACTGTCCTGGGGATGCAGACACAGGCCACAGAGCTCAAGCAGAAGAGTCCTATCTTTTTAACACCATACCCCTGAAGACTTAGGTTGGACCTCTTATAAAATTACCAAACACAAATGGAAAAAGCATTCCTATATGCTGAACAGGACATCTCACATGAACAGAACTGACATTCAAACATTAATAATTTAGAGAAAACATCAACACTCAAAATGTGATTAAAATCACGCATGAGCCCGTATATATGTGCAGAAGCACATTTCCACACAGTCACATTTTACTTCTCTTCGACCACAGATGGAGAAAGAGCATTTACTAGATCATAATAAACATTTTGGAAGAGAGCAAGTATTTCAAATGATGCAATGAGAAGAACTAGTAGTGTGTACAAGAGCTGTTTGAATATCCTGGGTACTGCTGTAGGTGTGTGAACTAAGATACTGCTAGTAGTATTAAAGAAAATATCTGCATTCTTATTGACTATCTTACACATAATCCTCCCTCTCCTTTACTTTTTGGAAAAAAAAATGAGAGAGATTCATTTCTGTTATCACTGTTATTTACCTAACCTCTCCTCAGTTTTAGCAGCAGCTATGGAAAACCAGCTGGCACAGCAGCTTTTCAAAGATAATCCTTAGAAGGGTGCACTGGTAGGGAATTTTCCACAATTTAAAAACAAAACCAAAAAGTATTTGAATTGTTAAGAGTTTTTAAGTTTCTTATTAGCTCGCCGACTGATAATATGCCTGTACACATCCCTGCTCAAATATGGTTGCTTTCTTGGTGAGTCAGTGAATGTTCCCATATCAATGGTGTTCCAACATGATTCCTTAAAACAGGAATACCTGTAGCACCTGACTGCAACCAAGCAACTGTTCTGAATACAAAGCAAGAAGGGTCCATATTGAGCACCTAATGATGCATCCTATAGCTACTGAAAATAAGTTTAATGAGAACTAATCTTAGCTTTCACTGCTGCATTGCAGGGGCAGCAATGGAGGCTAATTTCAGCCAGCTAGAATCCTTAATGAACAAAAAGCCAGAAGAGTGGAGGTATTTTTATGATAATTAAAAAATGAACAATTTTTAGATGTACCAAATGTGGTCATAAGCAACAATTTAAACCCGTTTTAATAAATGTTTTAAATTGTATTTACCTCCACGCTTTTTGGGAGCCTCGGGTTTCATTTTAACGGTATTTCTGCTTCTAAATTCAGGCCCTTTAAAATCATCTTTGTCTTCATTCAGCACTGGCTCAGGCTGTACAACCACTGTACCTAGAATAATTTTATTTAGAAATTGGAAACCATTACACATCCAAACGAAGTGCAAAAGTCCTGTTTAAATAAAAGCTGGCACAGTACCTTTAAAAAAAAAAAAAAAAAAAAGTGCAATCTGCTGACTAAAACTCAACAAAGTTTTGAATGCACAGATGTTCACAGAAAAAAAAAAATCAAAATCAAAAAAATCACCACACACTTCACACTACATCTGTTTTGCAGCTGTAGGGCAAAAGCCAAATTCCTCCTGAATGGGCCAGGAGGAGCAAATTCTGCTCTCTCTGCCCTGATGTGGTATGTGCAGAACAGAACTGTCATACTGCTGGGTGTGTGTAGTACAGGAATTTGCAGTGCAGTGCTACAAATAAAGGACTCTGGTTAGGTCACTTAAATCTATCAAAAGCCTTACAGTAACTACTCCTCTCTTTTCCCCCTTCTATTCAGATTTAGTCATCTTAATTTATTTCAGCACGACATAAATGAAGAAGCAACAGAATAAAACCTGTTTTGACTTCAACAAAATTCAGAAATTCACTGTTTTATTTAAATACAGAAGACTACTAATCAAAATTATGTGAATGAAAAACCATCTTTGCTACCTAAGAGCTCAATTCTAATACTCTTGTTGTTAGGAAATACTCTGGAAATAACCTAGCATTCTGAAAAAAATAATTTTAAAGTGACTGTTTTAAACACTGCTACTCATGCAGTAAACATCAGTAGTTCCTCCAATTTTTTCTGTAACTTTTATAGGTAAGAAATGGAAGAGATTAATCAATCTCACACTATAGTTAAGAGCAGGATGTAGCCTTATGGTGTTAACTGTTTTAAAGGGTGATTAAAACCAGATCCAATAATGACATTTCCCCCTAGATTATTATTCTTGCTTTTGTTGAACTAATTGTTAATAACCTCAAAGACAGAACAGTAAAATAACTAAGACTTGCAAGTGACAGAGTTTGAGACTTCTACAAAAGAAAAGAAATAAATTATTTCCCCTGTTTAATGTCGGTTTTATACAGATGGCAGTAGACAGTGAAAATAAAGGCACCAGCACATCCTGGTGTACCCACAGATAAAGTATGCTGGGTTCAAAACTAAAGGTGCTTGGTTTCCTTTTAAATGTGTGTGCACAGGGGTGTGTGTGTGTGTTTGTGCACAGGCACATATGTTTATATATAAAAGCCAACAGGACCTAAGACAGGCATTTTACTAATACATGTACATTCTAGTTAATCATTTATGCTGCATCATTATCTTGGCTAGTTTGCTGAATTCAGAAACAAAGAAAGACATGAACTACCTTTAGGCAAGCTTTTCATATCAACATCGTTTTCTGAGTTTTCATTTGAAATATCTTCATTTACAGTTTCATCTAAGATTTGTTCATCATCTGATCCAACATACTTTGTTACAACTGTAGGTTTCCTGCATAGACAGAAAAAAAACCCATACCGTGACAAATATTACATATTGCAATACAAGTAAGCCTGGCGTTTTGCAAGCAAAACACCATACTAATTGGGAAAACCTATGTTCTTTCTAAATTAAGACATTAGGAGGTGGGATGCTCCAAGTTATTACAATAAATAAGTTATAGGCTAATTTTCCTGTTCACAATAGGAGTTTTCCCCTCCTGTATGAAATAAAAACATATACTAATAAAGTTGGGAGTTTTTCCGACAGGTTTGCTGTATTTTTACTTTTTTTTTAAATTAAAGTTTGATGTGTTTTTAAGAAGGTACGTAGGAAAGACACATTTTTAGGAAAAAAGCCTGAATGAAACACAAGTGAATGTCTGCTCAGAAATGTTATACGTCATTCCAGGTTTAACAGGCAGCACAAAGAGAACACAGATATTGGCAAATGACAAAAGCAGCTTGGCAGAAAAGATACGTGCAAGGAAATGCAGAAAGAAATGAAAAAGCTGACTTGAATAAAAAGAACAGTTGCCATTATGTCACAAACGTAATTTTGAACTGAATCCATTACAATGGATTAATTTAATATGTCAGGGCAGGGAAGAAAAAAATAAAAAGAAAAGAATAAGAATGTTAAGCAGAATTTTCAGGAGTTTGAAGGTAATACATGAACTACTGTAGGATACTGTTCTACTGGTTTTGTTAGTATCAGGTACAGTATGATAAATGTATGAGTGAAAATACCTTTAATGACAGACAGGAAGCACAAAACTAAGAC